TATATATATTATTGTCTCCCTTTCTTTCTTCTTTTTTTTTTCTTCTTTTTTTTTTCTTTTTTTTTCCTCTTTTTTTTCTCTTGTCTGTTAAGGAGATAAAATAATTAAATAAAGATTCCTCTTCCTCTCCTCCATCCTCTACTATACAGCAACTGCTGCTGCTGCTGCTGCTGCTGCTGCTGCTGTTGCTGTTGCTGCAATTGCTGCTGCTGTTGCAATTGCTAATGCTGCTGTAATTGAAGCAATTGCTACGACTGCTGCTCCTGTTGAAACAATTGCTGCTGCTGCTGCTGCTGCTGCTGCTGCTGCTGCAATTGCTGCAGCAGCAGCAGCTACTGTTGCTGCAATTGCTGCTGCTGCAATTATAAAGTACTATATTGTTGTGCTGCTCCAACAACTACAGAAATCTCTGCAATAGTTGCACCTGCTGCTGCTGCACCTGCTGCTGCAGCACCTGCTGCTGCTGCACCTGCTGCTGCAGCACCTGCTGCTGCAGCTGCATTCCCAACTACTCAAGCTTCTGCTGCAGCTGAAATTGCTGCTGCTCTAACTCTGCTGCTGCAGCATCTTCTACTGCTGCTGCTGCTGCAGCATCTACTGCTGCTGCTGCTGCTGCTGCAGCTGAGCTGTATGTATGTACTACTGTATCTTCTTACCATTCACTAGGTGCACCTCCTGCAGCGCCTGGGTCTCCTCCGTCTCCTCCGCTGCTGCTGCTGCTGCTGCCTCCTCCTAGTGCAGCCCCGAATTGCGAGGCCTTCCTACTTAGGCGCCTAAAGAATCCCCTGGGCCCCTGTCCCTTAACAGTTGCGGACCTGAATAGGGCAGGCTGGGCCCCCTGCTGCCCGTACATAGGCTGCTGCTGCTGCATGTCCCCTCCAAGGCTAGCCCCGAGGCCCCCTCCGAGGCCCCCTGGTTGTGCTGCTGGCCAACCAGGACGTACAGAAGAAGGGGGGGCCCCACCATAATATGAGGCCCTCTGGTGGGGCCTCCCTCCGAAGCCGCCACCAGGGGGGCCCCCAAACCCTCTAAACGATTGGGTATGGCCAAAGGGTTGTTGGGGACCAGCCTGGGGAGCGAAGGGCTGCTGCTGCTGCTGCTGCTGCTGCTGCTGCTGCATTGGTGCAGCAGCAGGAGGCATTGTCCATTGGGGTGTAGCAACAGGAGGAGGAACAGCAGAAGGTGCAGCAGCAGGAGGTACTGCTGCTGCAGCAGGAGGAGGTACAGCAATAGAAGGAGGCTGTGTAATTGATACACCCGGTGCTGCAGCAGGAGCAGCAGGAGCAGCAGGAGGAGGTACTACTACTCTTGGTGCTGGTGTTGGTGCTAGTGTTGGTGCTGGTGTTGGTGCTGCTGCAGCAGGAGGAGGAGCAGCAGCAGGAGGAGGAGGAGCGAAGGGTGTGAATGGTTGCTGTGGCTCTGCAGCAGGCTGCTGCTGCTGCTGCGGTGGTGGTGGCATCATTGGCTGCTGCTGCGGCTGCGGCTGCGGCGGTGGCACCACATGCTGCTGCTGCTGCGGCTGCTGCTGCTGCTGGTAAACAGTCCTTCCTTTTTCTTTTTTCCCTCCCTTATCTAATTCTCCCTTAAGACGATTAACCTCAGCAGAAAGTGTCTCCTTTTCCTTGGTTAATTTATTTATTTCTTCTCCTTGTCTCTTTTCTTTTGCTGCTGCCTCCTGCAGCTGTATCCGCAACGATTTCTCCCTTGTTTCCTGTTCTGTTACCTTTGCCTGCAGCTGCTCAATACTTAGACCTAATTTGCTGCGCTCTCCTGCTGCTGCTGCTGCTAATGATGATCTTAATTTTTCCTCTCTTGCTGCTGCTGCTTCTCCTCTCTCCGTACTTTTTCTTAATAAATTCTCTAGATTACGTATTTTTTGCTGCAGTTGCTGCACCTCCCTGCTGCTGCTGCTGCTGCTGCTGTCTAAATAACCTAATTTTTGTTGTATAAATTGTATTAATCCTTTATCCCCTCCATAAGCAATAAATAAGATAATAAATCCAATAAATAAATAACCAATAAACATACATAAACGTGTTATATTTAATAAACGTTTTCTTCTCTTATTCTCTCCCTGCAATAAGTGCACGAGCTGTACGCGGCTGAGTGTATTGAATGCTCCCTCTCCGTATACAGCTAGTGCTTCCTCTGCTTCTTCTGCCTCTTCTTCTGTTAATAATACATTATTATTACTATTATTATTATTATTTATATAATTATAACTATTATTAGTTGATAAATAAGAAGGAGAGGACGCAGATGATGTACCTATAGCTGTAGTAGTTGTTGATGATCGGACCCCCGTGCCCACTACACCACCACCTCTTGCTGCTCCTGCTGCTGCTGCTGCTGCTGCTGCTGCTGCTGGAGATAAGAAAAGTTGAATTGCTGCGCCCCACACCACGAGGGCACCAAATCCGTCTAATAAACCCATCCTTAGCACAAGAAATATATTTGCTGCTGCTGCTGCTGCTGCTGCTGCTGCTGATGCTGCTGCCGCTGCTCCTGATCTTATAAGGTTCTTTGATGGTGCTCTGCTGTTTGCTGCTGCTGCTGCTGCTGGTCTTGCTGTTGCTGCTGTTTATTTTATTCCTTTATAATATAAATTATATCTATAAACCTATAATTATTATATTTTATATATACAACCTGCTGCTGCTGCTGCTGCTGCTGCTCCAAACAAGGCCTTATTGTATATAAGGCAAAGACTGCTGCTGCTGCTGCTGCTGCTGCTGCTGCTGTTACTTCCCTCTTCTTGCTGCTACTCAGCAATAATCTTCTTCTTTTGTTTGTATAGATTAAAAAAAGAGATATAAACACAAACAGACGCAAACAGAAACTGCTGCTGCTGCTGCTGTTGCTGTTGCTGCTGCTGCTGCTGCTGCTGCTGCTGTCGAGGTAGAGAACCACGGGTGCGCAAGCAAAAAAAAGAGATGTATGCAATGTTAATTCTTTCCCTTTTCCTTAATACCCTTTGCTGCTGCTGTTAATAGTTAATTAACTGCAGCAACAGCAGCAAATAAAGGAGAAATAAGGGGTACCAGCAGCAGCAGCTGCAGCAAACCCCCATGCAACTTTACAACCCCAAGGGGAATCAAGGAAGAATAGGGGAGCTGCTGCTGCTGCTGCTGCTGCTGCAACCCTCCCTCTGCTGCCACAACGGAATTGGCAGCAGCAGCAGCAGCAGCAACAGCAGCACAATTCAAGCAGCAAATCCTTATTAATAATACTTTTTTATTTATAAAAAGAAAATAAATTATTAAATTAAATAATAACAAATACAAAAAGCATCGAAAGATGCCATCTGGCCTCCTGCAGCAGCAGCAGCAGCAGCAGCAGCAGCGGCAGCAGCAGCAGCAGCCAGCAGCGGCAGCAGCGGCTGCCGCTGCTGCTGCATTGTTGCTGCTGCTGCGGTCGCAAGGCTGCTGCTGCTGCTGCTGCTGCTGCTGGTAACTAAGCCGGTGCTCGAGGCATCCATCGTACTACATGCTGCTGCTGCTGCTGCTGCTGCTGCATGCAAGAAGAAGACATATAGCTACTGCATGCATATATAATTTATCTTTTCCTTCTTTGTTTTTTTTCTCTTTTTTTTATTTATTTTATTTTATTCTTTTTTCTTCTTTTGCTGCTGCTAATTATTAGCCAATCCCCACACTAGCAGCAGCAAACCCTGGCACCAGTTAGCTTGTATGGAATATTAATACTCGAGGGTTTAGGGTTTAGGGTTTAGCGATTAGGGTTTAGGGTTTAGGGTTTAGGGTTTAGGGTTTGTTAACAACCTCTTCTGTTACTTCCTTCATTTAGAGGAAGCTTAATCTAACCTTATAACTACCTAATAGACCTAAACAGCAGCAGCAGCAGCAGCAGCAGCAGCAACAGCAGCAACAACAGCAACAACAGCAACAGCAGCAACAGCAGCAACAGCAACAACAGCCGAAGCAGCTCCAGCAGCAGCTAGAGCAATGTTTAGGCCAAATATAAAAGCAGCAGCTGCTGCTAGTTCAGCAGCACAAGCTGCTGCTGCTGCAGCTGCTGCTGCTGGTCAATCACGAGCAGCAGCACCTGCTGCTGCTGCTTCTTCTACAGCCACAGAAACAGCAAACACTTCTTCGCTGCAGCAGCAGCAAACCCGCATGCAGAATACAAATATGCCAACAGCAGGACATGTCTCCAGCAGCAGCAGCAGCAGCAGCAACAGCAACAGCAGCAGCAGCAATGGATCTACACCCCTGCGTCAGCAGCAGCAACCCAACGAAGAGTACAACACAGCACCACCACCACCACCACCACGAGCAAATACAGCAGCAGCAGCAGCAGCACAAGCAGCAGCAGCAGCAGCAGCAGCAGCACAAGCAGCAGCACAAGCAGCAGGAGGAGGAGAAGAAGAAGAGGATCCATTAGGAGAAGAAAGAGCAGCAGCAACAAGAAAAGAAGGTCCTCTTGTTATTATTATTGTAGGGATGGCAGGAAGTGGCAAAACTACACTTGTTAAAGCTATGAGCGAGTAAACCCTAAACCCTAAACCCTAAACCCTAAACCCTAAACCCTTAAATATAACAATAACAACCAAATTGACCCTCATCCCTCCTCTTCTCTATATAAATAATAAATAATAAATAAATAAATAAATTAAATAAATAAATAAATAAATAAATAAATAATAAGAGAGTAAAATAAGAGATAAATATACATATATGTATATAGATAAAAATATATGTATATATACATATTTTTACGTATATATATGTATATATATGTATATATATATATATATATATATATA